ATAAAGATTGGGTTACTAGTAAAGGAATAATTATTCTTTTAGCCTTTTTAAATACGTATTACTTTATAGAGGGCGTATAAATTATATTCAAAAAATTCTTATATTATACCTATTATTCCTTTATAAAAAAAGATATCCTTTTAATATAAAAAGAATTGTATTCGCCGTTCTAAAAGGTTTATAAGGATACAAAAAGGGTCTTAGGCTTTAGAAGGTAAAGTAAATAAAATAGCAGACTCTAATAAAATATATTAACTTAAACTTTTCTACGTATATTCAAATAAATAGGCTTCTTACCTCTATTAATTTCTATAAATTTAACGACTATAATAAACTTAGCGACTATAATAAACTTAGCGACTATAATAAACTTAGCGATTATAGTAAATTTAATAACTATAATAAGTTTAGCGGCTACAGTAGATTTAACGAACGCAAGAATGGCGAGTATAATAAATTCGGCGGCTATAGTAAATTTAATAAACGTAGGAGCGGCGGATATAGTAAATTCAATGGCTATAATAGACTCAACGAACGCGGGAGCGGCGGGTATAATAATTTCGGCAGCTATAATAAATTCAACGAATACAAGAGTGGCGGGTATAATAGGCTTAGCGGGTATAGTAAATTTAGCGGGCATAATAAGTTCGGCAGATATAGTAGGTTTAGCAGGAGTAATAAATTCGGCGGGTATAGTAAATTCGGCGGGAGCGGCAAATTTAGTGGGCGTAGTAAATATAACGAGCGCAACGGGCATAAAAGCTTTTAGAATAATAATTAAGTTAATATCTCTTTTCTTTATATATTACGGGGGTTCCAATTCTAACCTTTTTCAAATAGAATTTTTTATTCCTAATAAACGGCATCTTCTTACTCCTAGGGGGCGGCATCTTTAAATATAATATTTAACTACCCGGACGTTAATTTTTAATCCTCTAATTATTGTTTTTAAAATTATATTTACTATAAATACTTATTACCTTTATATATTCGGTACTATTACCCCTAATGAAATCGTTTTCGTCAGGTAATATTTATCCTATATTTATTATAAATTAAGGTAATACGTTAATAAATAGAATTTTATTAAAAAAGTCTTTAACAAAAGTATTAACGTTTATTAACTATAGGGGGAAGGTTTAATCGTAATTAATATTAAAATCTATTATAATAATAATAGTAGTAGTAATAGTAATAGTAGTAATAGTATTAATAATATTAACTACTAATTTAATTTAATATTATTTGTAAAAAAAATAGTTTACATATTCAATTTTTTAGTAAATCAATTTATCTAATATCCGTATATTTAATTTTTTTTAATTGAAGCACTTTACTACTACTACCACGCTAATTTTACAATATTTAGTAGTCCGTAATATTATAATATTAATAATTAAAGTAAAATAGTACTAAATTTTAAATAGAAAACGGTAATTATTTTAGAAAAGGCTTTTTCATTCACTATTTAATTTACATTATAATATACTAAACTATCGTAATATAGCGTAATATTATAATAGTCTTACCCAATATCTTCCCCTAATATAGTACGCTACAGTGCCTTAATATTATTGAAGAACCCAAAAAAATCTTAACTAATTTTTCTCTTTTTCTTTTTTTTTTCTTTGATGCAGCGGTGTTGCGCTGCGTTGGCGGCGTCGGCGTTTCGAAGCCCGTTATGGATGCTCCAAGTTCCGTGGTGGACCTGCAAAAAGGTACGTTCCTTTCATATAGCCCTAATATTTAATTCCGATCGATCCTTCCTCGACGGTGGGTTTGTGGGGTCAAGGGTTCCCGCGATGTGCAGTGATGGCACCTGCAACACTGCACCTCCAGCATGGTAAAAGCGGCAGCTCCAATCCACCTGCAGGCGAGTCCACTTTCTCCTCCGTCGTCCACTCAGCGATCCTCGTCCTGGCTAACGCAGAGATAGCTTCCTGAATTGAAAGCTCAGTTTGGCAAGTAGTTGCTCTTCCGAAGTTGGCAAGAATGATAGGGCCAAACAACCCGAAACTACATTCTTCTTTGTCTTTCTGAGTCAGCTTTCTCCTCCTTCGGTTTGCCGCGGTTCGTTTGCTCGTCCTACTTCTCGACCTCCGATTCAGAATGTTTCGTTCTGCTGCCGGGGTGGAGTACCGTGATGAAAGCCCAGGATATGGGCAGCAGCCAGAGGTTTGGAAGCACATCACCAACCAGGAAAATTTGCATCTCTCACATGAGACCCCCAAGGCACCAGTTGAGCCAGGCTTTGCTCTCATCTCTTCAAGGACAACCTCGCTTTACAGACAGTAGGGCATCCCTAACCGAAGGCGGTGAAAAGTGCTATAATGACAGCCGATAATTCCTCTTCCAGTTTGCACGAGCTGTGGTATCGTCATCTATATTATGCCAGCCCTAACGATAAAGGACTGAACATGTAAATTGGAATTGAAGATAGCTAACTTCGGGCCCATTTGGTTCATCCAGCTGTTTTTTCTTTTGTATAGGAAATTGACCCCTGTAAAATAACAAGTTGTTTCATACAGGAAGTTGGAGGTCAGTTTGCCCATTTAACCTAGCTTAGCTGCGTCAAGAAGTATCACGCTAAGGCAGGCGGTTCGGAAGGCCCAAGAAAGCAATTAGTGGGCCTATGCAAGCCAATTTTACTATTTTCTATCTTCATGCCCTTGGGCATGAAGATAGAAAGAAGTAGAACCAACTACGAATCACAACTCCAGTTATACAACAGCACGACCAATAGCGCGAATCACAACCCCAGTTACAACAACGCATCTTTTAGCCTACGTCTTTACTTAGCGAGCCTGGTACAAAGCAATGGCTTTCTAGCTGCATTTTCCGCTTTGTACCCCAAATCAGCACGTCTAAAAAACAGCTGGATGAACTAAACGGGCCCTTCCTGTGTATCAATAGAACCCTTCACGTACCTATCTATATATGGTGGATACTCTCAAACAGTTGGACAACGCTCAGCAACCTATACAGTAACATACTGTATGTGTCAGAGACACGAGTTGATCACGAAAGGCTTGTGACAAGCCAGTGTCTAGGCACATGACTTGAGATCCATGACACACCCCGATCCAGTATATTTCTCACATGACGAGTACGGCTGTTACAACCTGTCACAACCTGACTCGAGTTATACTAAAAGGGGCGCGGTCTCGCTACCTCTACCTAGGCAATCCTGCTTCTCGACAACGGAACGACATGTACATTTTGAGTGTCTGTTCTCCAACGTTTGAAGGGATGATACACATAACGCGGGACTTTGAAACAATTTCATAAATAAAACGAAACTTGAGCTTCAAAAGGTAAGGTCAGTTTATCTTCTCCCCCTTAGTGTACCTCTCGTCGAACGCTTGTTGGACTTGGATCTTGGATATCGACAACCTCCAGTCTCGATCGGCTACTGCACAGCTTTTTAGCGGTAGCACAGTAACATGGCAGCTGGATATCCGCGTGGGAACCCGCTATCAACCTACCGCGGCATGTACAGTACGGCTATTTACGTACAGTACTCAGTAAGGTACCTTACCTTACGCCTTGCCTGCCCGGCGGCCCCATCTAACTAGTCATTGCATCATCATGCTCCGCGCAGCCCCGCTTAGTCGGATGACACTGCAGCAAGCAGAGTCGCAATGCATGGAAGTGTCTTCGATAAAATCTCTATCGCTAGCTTTTTTATTTTCTTTTGACTGTGGGTACCACTTTGTACATGTACCTTATTTTGAGAACAACGACCTGCTGGTATGAGCTGCCAGCTCTTTTTTACAAGAGCTCGTCCATCTATCGCGAACTGGGGAAAAGAAGGTGGTTCGAGACGGAAAGATTGTGTGAGCAATCCAATTTGACAAACCCAGGACATTCCAAGGCGATATCACATCAAAGCTTCTCGAACATCAATAATGACCCCAAACTCAACCGACAACCGCAAGCAAGACAATTTGTGAGTCAGCTGACTCCTGTCATCAACAAAGTCTGGCACAGGCACCGCAAGGGTTGTGGATGGATATATACATACGAGAACAGCTCCAGCCAATCTCTAAACTTGAGTCACCCTTCCAAAGCCTTCTAGTGTACTGTGTTTGCCTCAAAAAGCTCAGCAGACCTTCACCTTCCGGTCCTCCGATCGTATTGAAAACTAGCTAAACAAGTGCGCTACTAGCTCCCGCCGGTCTGCTTGTCCACTTCAGTCACATCTCGTGTGTCTTCTGTTTTCACTGGAAAGTTCTAGCTTCCATTTCACACGAGTGCTGGCATGGTAAACGCCGCACAAAAGACAGACGTCTGTCCGTATCGCAACGATATTGAAGGGATAGTGAGAGCTACCCTTGCATCTTTGCTGCCATTCTCGGGTCGGGCTCGGATCGGTCTCGGGGCCATCCCATGTAGGTAGCTAGTCGGCGGCAGGTTCGTTACACGGGTAACTTACCCGGTACGGTTTTGTATTTTTTCCAGCTCGGTGTTACTCTGGACTCATTTCAGGTGTTATAGCTTCAGCTTCGTGACATCTTCGCAGGCGATAACTAGATGTAGCGTATCACTGCTCAAAGTCTTTCGGAGAGCATGATAAAGGAAGCTCATAATAGGCTTGGCCGGAAGTTTGATGGTGGACATATAGTAAAGTAATGCATGATAATGGTATTGATATGGACTGTGGAACTATGCGACCTTCATGCCAGCTGTGAACATGCTGGACGACTTACAGATGAGCCTGAATCGCAGGGTATCAACCTTCGAAAAGCTAGCTACACATCAAGGCTGTGGCCATATCCTCTCCCGTTAGGCGAAGTGGTTTCGAACAGAGGACGACAAAGCGACGTAACAACAGTGATGGGCGCAAGCTGCCCCAGCATTAGCCTTCAACAAGGATTCTTTCTCGACTTCATCAAAAACAGGGCTAGCAGGGTGCAGCAAAACATCAACGCAGAGGGGAATCATTGCACAAAATGGCTTAACCAAATGCATTAGAGTAAAGAGGCTAGGGGCAACTGCATCCAAAACAACCGACAAACTCGGTCTTTTACTTCAGCTGGCGCAGAATCTCCGTCAAGAAGTCCTCAAAGCTCAGCGTAATGTATCCATCGCGATCATCGTCGTACTTCTTGAACACATCCGTCATGCGCTTCAGGCTGATGCAAGCCTGCACAAAGAGATCGAAGCTCATGACGCCGTCGCCGCGCTTGTCGTACGTGCGGAAGAGTAGCTCGACGAAGCGCGGGCTGAGCCGGTAGCGGAACGCCACCAGCGCGTTGTTGAACTCGTACAGGCTAATGTTGCCGGACTTGTCCATGTCGAAGCGGTCGAACAGCGTCCGCCACGAGGCCAAAAAGGACCAGAGCCCGCAAAACTCCTCGAACCCGATTGTGCCGCTGCGGTCGCTGTCGAACATGCGGATCATCATGCGGACGGTGTGCGGGTCGAAGGCGCTCCAGTCACCGTTGACGAGCGCGGCGGAGAGTTCTCTTTCGGAGAGCTGGCCGGTACCTGGAGAAGAGGCGCGCGTTGCGGTCAGAATGCGGTTATATGACAGGGGTTGGCTATGGTATCGGATAACTCACCATCCTTATCGACGGCCCTGAATAGGGGAAGAAGAGTCGGGTCGGCGCCATCGCGGGTCGTCGGGCTCGGGGGCGGTCGCGAAGAGACAGGAGGGAGGTTATGATGAGCGGGCCGGCTACCGGTCGCCGAGGGAGGCGGGCTCATGCCGTAGCGGTCTGGTGGTGGTCCTTGCTGCATTCTCGGTGATAGTCGGTGCGGGTCTGCTGAGCCGGAAGCGTAGTGGTTTTGGCTGTATGCGTTTTGATTGTATGTATTTTGACGATGGGGATCGTACGTGTTCTGACGCTGGTCGAAGCCGGTGTTGCGATGTTCGACCGGGCGGGGAGGTGGTGGCTTCGTCTCGTAGCGCGCTGTGGAAGGGGCCTGCTGAGGCGGAGCAGGTGAGGTGCCTTTCTGTGAACCGTAGATGGGATATTAGTATGCGACCCAGCTGGACTCCATCTCGTCGCGTTGAAGCTGGAGAGAAATAGGTTGCTCACTCTTGGCTCTGGCTCGGCGAATCTTGGGAGCAGAATGTCAGCAGGCGATCAACTTACACGTATACAGGCTAAGAAGGTGCTGTATGATTTGGCGACGGGTGCGGGGCTCTCCGGGCGTCTCCAGGGGATATGCAGAGTGTAGGGGGAGGTATACGCGGATTAGGTTGCAGGAAAAAGGGCATACACACCTGGGGAGCTCGTCGGGGTTGTAAGATCTGTTGTAGGCCATGGTTGCTGTCAATCAAGAGCTTGATGTCGTTGACACAAATCGTGGTCGCCGTCGCAAACAAGTTCAGATGTGTTTGTCGTAGGTCAAGGCGGGGAGTCGGGGTGCGGAGACGGGGACGGGAGGATTAACAGGACGGCAAAGGGGAGCGAGCGTCTGGGAGAGAGAGAGGCACCGGCCGATGAGGGTATCAAGTATTATGTAAGTTGGCAGTAGGGAAAAGAACTGAAAAGGAGTAACGGAGTCGGTGATGGGTAGAGTGGCCGCTGGATCAGACCCAGTTCCCAGGTTACAAGAAAGCAGATTACCTTATTTTCCTTGACACCTACCTTATCCACGTATGAAGTATGGGGATGTACTGGGCAATCCGTAATTTAGGTAGTTACGTGCCCAATCGCCTCAGCCGCAACGCCAGACCGCAACCGCAATGTTGGTTACGCTAGAGTGCTTGACGATTCAGGGTCCGATTGTCAAAAATCCGAGAGAAGAGCGGAAGGATCTCGGATTCGTTCTAGAGGTTCTCTAGATCTGTCGAGCGGTCGGGAAAAGGCACGAGCTTTGAGAGCTCAACTTTCCCCTTCTCCAATCCTCCAATTTAGCTCCATTCCACAATTCCACATGGGTCCGTTGACCCGTTCAACGTGGTTCAACGCTATCGTGCCTCGTGCCTCATGGGGCTAGTTAAGGGTCCTCTGTGGAGTTTGCCCGTTGTGCGGTGTATCGGTCCGTATTGTGTGTGATCCGCACTGGTATTCGTAACGTCGAGGAGGCTTGGACGGCTGGGCGTTGGAGCTGTCTTGTCTTGGGCGTCGGTAGCAGTTGTATGATGACCAGCCTTCCTGTATAGGTATGACACGGTGAATGCTACTCTTTATCATGAGAAGCGAGTTGTAGCTGGATTTGTGTTGCACAACAATGTCACTACCGGGCATGAAGCGGTGCTTGCAACATAGAGGTAGGACCATGACATTTCAAGGACACAAACTCTGTTGTGTTTTACGCATGCTGGGCCAAACGCTCCCTTGGGTCCAAAGTTACCACAGGTCCGCATGCGAGAGGAGTTCGCAGCAGGGCGGTGCTATACCGGAACCGCGGGCTCAGGCCGGAGGATTGTTGCTGACAGGCATCGAGGTGTTTAGAGCCGTGCAACTTCCGAACCTCACATTTCGTGAAGCGGGTGCCTGCCAATCAAGACACAGAAATAACCACCCGTGCCTTTTGTTCGAGTGCTTGCGGTGGGAATCGATATCAACGCCTGCCACGCGAGCCGGAGTTTGCGTAGAGGTAGATAGTATTCGTCAACATTAATCGGCCTAGGTCATCGCTGGCTCCAGTCATGAATGAGATATGAAGGACGGGAGAGAGGACCCGATTGAGATGGAGGATCCTTTAGATACAGTTTGCCGGCAGTTATCGGATAGCAGATTGAATTGTTAGTGTAAGAGCTTCATGTGCGGAGACTTGGGTGCGGAGTATCGGTTACACTATCTTTCGGAATTCTTTCTTGATAGCTTCTTTAACGCTGCTATTCCCCTAACCCTTGACATTGATTTTGTTTGATTTGCGAAACACACAACTCCGACGGTTCCCTTCACTTGGACTTGATCCTTCATGAACAACCACGTGTAAGCACCAAAGAGTTCGATAACAGAAACTTATGAAGGCTTGGATATAGACTACCCGTCTCGTTATCTTTTTTTTGTAGATTTTATTCACCTACAACTTTCTTCAAACCGGGGAGAAAAAATGTCGCCCCAAGAACCTCCAAGCAAGCAAGACGAGTTCTGGATATTTGGTTACGGGTAAACCGCCTCACCGACCATACCGCCTTTACACCCCAGGTGTCTCTTCTAGTCACGGTAACTAACTAAGCCTTACAGAAGCTTGATCTGGAAGCCGCCGCCGCACTTTGGTACATACTCCCCCCTTGTTCTGTCATAAGACTCGGTAGACTGGCGGGTCCTGTCCTATTTGACGTGTCCGGTTCCATGTCAAAACCCAATTCAGATCGGTCTGATGTGCGGTCTTGTTGTGCTGGCGTCTAAGAGACTAACCGAGCGCCAAACCTTGTCTAGATAGAAGAATCCCCGGTTGGGTAGAAGGCTACGTACGCCGGTTCTGGCAGGTATGTCTTTGGCTGCTGTGTTCCCCCGTTCATAGTTTTTCTCGGTGACTATGAGTAACTTGTTGTTTTTCTACATGTACTTTGAATGCTAACTATCCATAGGCCAGGTAGATATCATCATAATCACTCGGACGACTAGAACCTCTTACTGTGTTCTTAAGCATGAAACTCCCCTCCTCAAGTGATGAGACATATTCCAGAGCACATACACTACACAAGCCTCACCTTCAACCCTTTCGTCTTTCTCTTCACATGCCCTGCTCTAATTTTCTCCAACGTTTCATCTGACCGCTAACCCTTCCTCTCCCTCTTCCCCCCGAGCAGTGAAGACCACCGTGGCACGCCCTCCGCACCCGGCCGCGTGGTCACCCTGATCGAGCGCTCCTACTGGGCCTCGCTCGCCGATCACCACGACTCGGCGCCCGCCAAGGTCTGGGGCGTGGCCTACCGAATCAAGGCCGACCGCGTCGCCGAAGTCAAGGAGTACCTCGACATCCGGGAGATCAACGGGTACACGATTCACTGGACCCCGTTCCACCCGGCCTCCGACGTAGACCCTGCGTTGCTTCCTCCAGCGCAAAAGGGTCCCATCCAGACCCTGGTTTATATCGGCACGCCCGACAACGCCCAGTTTACGGGGCCGCAGGATCCGCAGGAGCTTGCCGAACACATCTATCGGAGCAAGGGGCCGAGCGGTCTGAACCGGGATTATCTGTGGGGGTTAGAGAAGGCGTTGGATGAGCTGAGTCCCGAGAGCGGCGATGAGCATGTGAAGGACCTGTCAAACCGGGCGAGGGCGGTGGCTGCGCGGTATAAGAGTGAGGGAAAGCCCGACCCGACCGACGAGATTGATACCGCGACCGAGGTTGTCGAGGTAAACGGAACAACAGAAGCAACACATGACGAACACCACCACCAGTTCAGAAGAGCTGGCAGCGTAGATGAGCAGGAGGAGACCGAGAAGACATCATAGAAGGAAGAAGTCCGAAGAAGACCCCGTAAGGAAGTCCGCAAACTCTTTTTTTGAAAGGAAAATATGGGAAGATGCTTTCTCCTCCACCAACCACTCTAGCTTTTTCCCCAGCGCATATACCCTTTGGCAAGTTTGGCTCTATCAGCCCGCAAATCGCTGTCTTTCGATACCTCGCTCATGCCCATGCCTTTCGAGATCATTCAAAGTCATATCGTCGTTACCAGCCACACACAATTTCCTATCCACCCGGTAATTCAGCCTCCGTCCCATCTCACCCGCTTGCTCTTGCGCTTCGTCCTCGCCGTCTATGGGAATCAGGATTACAAGTTCCCACGTTTGTCGGGAACGAAGAAGGGGTATTAATCAATGCCAAAGGAAAATGAAAATCGGACGGTATCGGCGGTTCGAGAAGTCGCTCAGCAGCTCTCTGATCCTGAGAAAGACATGCTGTAGGGTATCGGTTTCTGTTCGTCGGGAGTGACGCACGAGGTGTTCTTCCATGGAACACAAGCTCTGATCGCTGACCTCTAGTTGAGGATCCGCAATGTTGCGTCATGTGCCGCCTGTTGATTCAGGTCGCCGCACTCTCCCATCAAGCTAGCACGAGGTTTGGCGCGAATCGCCGCTTAGTACTGACCCTGAGGAGGGTACTGCTGGCCCTGCTGGGAGGGGTCGGCCTGGTAGCCGCCATAGGGAGCTGTGTATCCTTCATCTCATCAGCATCACATTCCCGTTAGGTTTTCTTGGAGGTTGAGTGTCTTGCTTACCCTGGCCACCGTTGTAGCCGCCCTGGGGGCCCTGGCCACCGTTGTAGCCGCCCTGGGGGCCCTGGCCGTAGCTGCGCTGGCCATAGGATTGCTGCTGGTAGCCGCCCTGGCCGCCGTACTGCTGGCCGCCGCCCTGGCCGCCGTACTGCTGGCCGCCGCCCTGGTAGCCGCCGCGGCCGCCCTGACGGAAGCCGCCACCGCCGCCACCGCCGGCGCGGTCAGAGGCCTTGTCGACGCGGACTCTGCGTCCGTCGAACCTAATTTGGAGTGTCAGCGTTCGCTCAATGTTAATCTTCCAGATGGGGGAACTTACTCCTGGCCGTCCATGTTGGCAATGGCATTCTCGGCATCAGCATCGCTGCCGTAGCGGACGAAGCCGAAGCCGCGGCTGCGACCGGTGTCACGGTCCTTCACGACAACCTGAATAGAGCGAAAAAGGTTGTTTAGTACATGATTATTCTTACTTATGATGTCACTGGCAAGGTCTGACTTGCATGCCGAAGTCGGCAAGCAAGTCTTGTAGTCAGGGTGAGATGAATTGAACTTACGGCCTCCTCAACAGCGCCGAACTCCTCGAACTTGGCACGGAGCATGTTATCATCCGTGTTCCACGACAGACCGCTGCGAATTGTTAGCTGTGAATGGGACGTGGAAGATGTGCCATGGAAGACACGGCGCATGGAATACATACCCGACGAAAAGCTTAGCCATTTTTGCCGAGTTGAGGTAGTATGAAGATTTGTTTGAATGTCTACGAATAGTTAGACGTCATGATCACGCTTGATGCTTCTAACAAGCAGGAGGGCGCAAATGAGATGCACTCGGTCAAGGCTTCTACTGCCTCGAGCGCAGTTGCCGCACGACATCATTTGAATGAAGCGCGGTTCCTGCTGAGGCAGCCGTGACCGCGAGATGAAGCCACGAGGTGAGGTCAGGTCGAAGCGATTGATTTGAACAATAGCCCGTGACTTGTGCTCGTGACGATGATGCGATAGAAGTAGAGATGGGAGTCGCGACTTACGGATGGTAGATCTATGCTTGAATGAGGCACAGATAGGTGAAGACGAGGATGTAGAAGTTTGAGAGAAAGTGCAAGATTGAAAACGAGACCCGTGTTCACTTGAAAAATAAGTAGGGGAAGGAAAAAGAAAACCAACAACGCCCCGTAAACAGCGGGGCAAGGTAAATCTGCTGGTCGGTCAAGGCTGGTAGTATTGGATGCGCTGGTTGGCGGGATATCCACATCGTTTATATTGCAGGAGGAACCAAGCAGATCGAAGGAAAGTTCCCCAGTAGCCGTACACAGCCCGCAGGGATTTGCGTCAGTCGTCTTGTTATCGAGACTAAAGTTTCCTATTTGAAGAGGCAGATAACGTCACCTTGATGGCCTCTTCGTCCCGTGTTTTGGGATGGCGAACATGCTCTCTCTCCGCCATTCCATCCCCAAGAGACCCAAATAGGCACCAGAGGCCCCGAGACTGGGTTCTTGACGCCAAGGACATGTTTCGACCAGCATGACGATGGTAGGCGACCTTGGTAACGCGTTTAGGCGCCCAAACAACCATCAAACAGAGAAACGTCAACTTCAGCAGCATGCTCATGAGGTGTTTTGGACTGGGGCTCGGGGTGTTGGCTGCGCCGAATACGGCTACCTGCCGGCTTGCTTTGTTAAATCCAGATAGTATTCTAGCTAGGGTACGCAGAGTAGTTTCGAAAAGCCCTTCATGCCCTTCTCGTCTCACGCTTTCACCATTGCCCTCTCTGCCTCTTTTGCCCCCTCTTGAGTTGATGGTATTCACCAGTGTTGCAATCTGCATGGGTTCCTGTAGGAACAGCGCGTCCCTGGCAGCCAGTCGTGGGCACATTTCGTCATCTTTGGCCCCCGCCCCTCCCCCTCGATTTTACAGTGGGAATGGCGCCCTGCAAGCCTGCCTCGCCGGTGTTTGATCCGAGTCGGGATGGAACAAAGATAAAAAGCAAATTTCTATGCCTGAACTCGTCTAGACCGACTCGCTTTTCTCTAAACATCCCCTTCTTTTCATCCCGATATTTGAAGCCATCTTGCTGACCGGCAATGGCAGATGACACTGGCAGACACCTCTACGGCTATGGTCATGCAGCGAGGTACCCACTCAACAAAATCGAGGGGTCAAGCACCTCATCCCGTCACCAGGGCAGCCTGATTCTGCGGGCAGCGGTCCACCGGAAGGGTGGGGGAGATCTTATCGATAACGATTGACGGTTCCCGCTCAACAAAGGGGCCCGGCCCTTGTTTGATCCCTGAACGTCTCCAGATTTCCCCGCTAAACCACATTCAGCCTCAGCACACAAAAGGGGGGTTTCGCAAATGGGACTTTGAACTGTCAATTTGCTGCCAAGACTTCCCGTGACGCAACATGTGGGTATCGCAAAGTCCCTGAGATTGAGGCTGCGACCGTTCCTGAAGACAAACAGTAGCATCCGTAGGTTAGATGACTCCGAGTCTTGTCGTCTGAGGATGGAGATAAAGAGAGTTTGACAAGCTGTTTCGTACCAGCTCTGGCATGAAATTACGGTGAGGTTGGATGAAGTGTGTGTATTGGTGGCAGGTTGAGGCTGCTGGACAACACCAGATGAAGTCTTCCAGACTGCAATCATTCAACAGAAGAAAACTGACCAACAAGCCATGGCTTGCCCAACATCCTCGAGCTGTTTGTCTTTCGTTGGATTTCAGATAGTCGTGAGATGGAAGACAGTCAGACCATTGCGGTTCCGTCGTCTGCAGAACGTACTTGCAAAGGATAATTGAGATGAGAATCAACGCTTTTGCGCAGGGGAACTTTGGGGTTGTCTAGTCGGAGAATGTCTGGTCTATCTCGTCGAGACCATGACATGAACTACGGTGCGCTAGAGGCATGTGGCATGGGTGTAAGTGGTTTCTATAGACTTCAAGGCTGGTGATAGAGAAGTACCCTGTTACCTTGAGGCTTTGAGGTTCTTCTGTTGGCTTTGCCAGAGCTCAACCTCGCCTCACCGATGGGTCCTCAGCTGTCAAGTTGCTCAGGGCGAGGTTCTCGATGACTTCTAGTCGACTACCTTATGATGATCCGCGGGCCCTTGATTATCCCCTTTGTCCGTACAATGTGGCCAAACTGACACTACGTATCATGAAGAACCTCGATGGGCACGGTGGGAATAGCATCAACGTCAACAACAACAACCAACGGACCCGCCAGCGAAGATCTGAAGGTGGAGGCCTGGGGCCAAAGCCAAGATTCCCTTCCCCTGTTGTCGGCTTTGGGATCCACTTCGGTCTTGTATCCTACTGGCTTATCTGGTTCAAAACTGGGGTCCAACTGTCCTGCATGGTTCATCTCATGGAGTCGCAGATGCCCTGCCGGTCTCCACCAACAACGTCAATGCCGTTGATGCGGCGAACATTGCGCTGTGCATACGATATCAAGATCTTGCAGGCTTTAATAGCGTCGACTTCCAGTCAAATTGGTCGACGAACCTTGTGAAGAGATTGTACCTGCAGGATGCGACTGTACCCGGCGTGGAAAGGGAACTGGTCAAAATAGGCAATTAGCTGTGAGTGGATTGAGCTATTTGGATGCCGGACACTCCATCGTTAAGTTCTTTCACAAGCCGTCGACTCTTTTCAATCTCTTTGGCTTAAGGTCATCGTGATGACTTAGGTCAGTGGTAAGATATCCAAACGAAATGTTCAAGCTGGACTCGGAGACGCAAAACGACGGATGTTGCGCTTTCAGACATGGATAAAAGTTAAGGTAGGTCCTTCTCCAGAGCCATAGGTACACCATGGACTGGTAGGCACCTTCCAAATTACTGTTACAATCCAGTCAGGAAGGCGTCTCATTGGATGATATTGTAGTTTCGTGATACAGTTACGAGCGAAATGTGCTCGTACGAGCTTCATTCGTTCAGTGTCTGGAAGGGTCGAACAGTAGTAAAATACGACATCCACGTACTCGCTGCCTGTAAATTTCAAGAACACAAGCTCATTCCCTGAGACGCAGTGTTGATCGTGCTTGCATCGTTACTGCTCTGATGGCGCTCGCCGTCTTTCTTTGGAGTTAGCCGGGGCATATTCACACGAGTAAGCCTTTTCAAACTCCAGTTCACTTCATCTAACACCTGCTCACTGGGACTTCAGTCGCCCTTGTCCGTCATTTCTCAAGCCTTCGAGGCGTCTTTTCTTGTTGGTGTCAACCGGACCTATGGATTTCCGTAAATACCATGACCGAGACGAGTATCCATACGAATCACGTCGAACATCGGACCATGATCGTCATCGACAGGAACGAAGAAGCGATGATTACCATCACACCTCTGCCAGAATGCGTAACAGAGAAGGCCAACACGATTATCAAGACGAGTTCGATGTGCCAGCTAGCCAACCTGAGAAAACAGATTATGTTCAATCATGGCTGCAGCGGTCACAAGCGAATCGCGCCCGCCCGCCAGAACCGATTCCGGGAGACAAACCACGAAAGATTTCGCCGCGAGTGCACATGGTCAAACAGGCTAGTCAAAAGAAAAAGAGAACACGATCAGAGTCGCCCGAGCCAGCACGCCCAAGGGAGACCCATAGCCCAGTTGCTCTTCGATTTGAAAAGAGGTCTCGACACAAAACAAGGCATGACAAATACGACTACAAGCCTGAAGTAGACCGCAACAAGAGACGGGCTAAGAGTAAAGAACATCGCCGTGATGACAGTTATGGGTCCTTGGAGGATGTTCAAAGACACAAGCGAAGTGAATATCAACATATGGTGGGTATATGTACTATCGTTGCCTTACGTTGATTTACTGATGTTGTACAAGTCACAGCAACGGTCGAATGATCATGTCCAACGAACCGAACCCGGCCCTTCCCGACATCGGAGCTCTAAAGCAAAGGAGATCGAAGCTTTATCAAGACGCCCTGACCATAGATCAAGAGCGGCGGAGCCGAGACCAAGAAGCCGAAAGCAGCAGGTGGAAGATAAGGAATTGGAGGAGCTGTCTGCGTTCTTTACGCGGAGAGCTGGCGGTGAAAGAGCCGAAGCTGAAAAAATACGCCACCGAGCTCGTCGAGAACAACGCCATGACACTGCTGCTGCCAGACATCCTGCTTCAGATGTCCGCCAACAACGAACACAAGATTCACCCACCACTTCGCTCCATCCTAGTAGAAGCATCGCCTCTACCAGACAACCTTCGCCCACGTCTCTCCAGCCGAACACTCATGTCTCCTCGTGTGCTGATGATCCAAGAAATATCCTGCCAACCCGTCCGAGTAGCAGATCAACCACGTACTTCACATGGTCAATAAGTGACAGGGGTCCAAATGCTAGGGCGCCAGTATCCAACGATTCCACATCGGAGAGACCACAGAGGAGTATTCAAAGCTCTGCTAGGAAAGTGGTCCTTCAGGAGCGGAAAATAAAGAGCCCTAACGTGGTTTTGGAGGATTTAAAGATCAGGCCAACTTCGAGAGCAAAGCATCGTCCACGGAAACGAGTAGTGTACAGGGATGCTCAGGTCCAAACATCTTTTGATGCAGAAACAGGTCAAAATCGCCAACACGCAAAAAAGGCAACTCCCCAGTATCGAGATTCTGCAGTCATGACAGCAGATGATAACAGCAACCTCAAAGAACGTGTCTCCATGCTGGCTGTAGAATCATTGACGGATATGAATAAGAGGCCTGTGGATGAGCAGCATTCATCCGATGCTACAGCAGCAAGACAGATAGGTGCACAACCTCAGTCACAGTCCCAGCCTCAACCACAAGCTTGGGTTACCTACAGTGCTGAGGATAGACTCATTCCTCAGCCGCTTATAGCAGCGAGTAACTTGCCTGTCCAAGGAGGCTGGCAAGCATATCAAGGACCTTCTGCTGGACAAGAGGTCGGTCGTTATATGCGACTCCTTCCACCCTCAAGAATTCAGGCTCTAATGCCTTCTCATCGATTAACCCCTTTGCGCCCTGTAGCTGATCGCGTTTCAGGGCATCCTTCATGCCCTTCAACTCGGCCTTTTCATATTCCTACGCAGGGGCCACCTCGTGAAAGTATGGAAGACTACATCAACAGGATTGAACAAGAAGCCTTGCAGGATTCCACCAACAATGAAGAGATGGATCAATTACAGCCCCATCGTCCCGAATTGACTGAACGCACACAGCAGCAGCAGCAGCAGCAGCAGCAGCAGCAGCAGCAGCAGCTCGGCCCTGGTTTATACCCCGAAGGCAATGGTATGCTTCTTCCAGACAACGGGTGGTACGATCAGCATCCACTTGCAACAGACATAGCACATATCGAGGCACAGGACCGCGAATCTTTCGAGCTGGATTTTTACGGGCAGAGTACGGGGGCTCAAGATACCGGGTTACCGAGAATGTGGGAAGATCCGCGCGGGTTCTGAGATGTGACCCGTTGATTTAGAGAAGTCATCACTCCGGGTTCTGATCCTTCCACTTTGCCTTAATGCTTTCAATGTCCATTCCACACTTTGCGGCTTTGGCGACTACCGCCCGAGCCTTTCCAACCACAGGAGCATCAATCATCTTTCCGTCCAAGGTCCAAGCACCTCGACCCGCTGCAGAGGCCTTGTCATCGGCAACAAGGACACGAACGGACCACTCAACCTCGGCCTCTGCTGGGGCGAACAATCGCTGGGCCACTTCGACCTGGCTGGGATGGATACACTCTGTTTTAATGCCAACTGTTAGTGAAGAGCCACGGTACCTATTATATGGGTACCGTCGGTACAAGGAAAGGAACATCAAAAATAGGTAACTCACGCTTTCCGTTGAAGCCCATCTCCTTGCCGTTCTGACACTCCTCTTCTAGCCGCTTTACCCCCTCTGGGCCCTTGTATGAGGTACAGACAAGATCAATGGAGCTAGGGAGATCGAATGCTCTGGCAGCAGTCACAATGGCACTTCTGGCGTACAAAAACTCCGCCAAACCTGGTGTTCGCGTAATGGACAGGTCCAATGCAAAGTCCTCAGCAGCAAAAATCAGGCCACTCAGATACGGCGACGCAGCACAGATCGAGCGCAGATCCATCACCGCTCTGGCCGACTCGATCAGGGCAATCAACTTGAGAGGGCTTGCCGTGGGATCTGAAGAATGCCGTTGGGGTGCTGCATGGCGGATGACATCAGTGACGAAGGACAAAACGCTAGCACTGTTGACCTTCGGGATGACAATGGCGTCAAGGTTCGGAGCGCTTGCGAGAGTGGTTAGATCATCAAGCGCATAGGGGGTCGAGACAGCATTGATGCGTACAGCAAGCTCTCCAATGGAAGCCGGCTTGTTCGAAAGTGAGGATAGGTGGTCGCGCAATTGTGTGCGAGCGGTCTGCTTGTTTGCTGGAGTCACTGAGTCCTCAAGGTCATATGTAATATTGTCACTAGCCAAGGACAGTGACTTGGTCATGAACTTCTGGGAAGACGCAGGAACTGGGCCATCTGAGTTAGCAACCATTGCACAGACATATGACAGGGGGATTATATCTTGGATAGATCACACCATATAGCAGCGCCCGACGGAGGACGGAAGAGATAGCCATGATATTCAGTTCAAGTCAAGGTGGACTCTGCGGTATGTGTGGATGTTGATGTGATGTGAACTGCTTGACTTCGTGGCTCACGACTATCACCGGCTCAACCACGTTATCCACTGCAGACCTCTGCTAACCAATGTTAATGCGTGAGGTTGTCGAGCTGACAGTATCTCATTCTATCGGGGAAAGGGGAGAATATTAAGAGAAAAGAGGTGCTGAGCTCAATGGGAAGTCAAATGGCATGTGACGTAGGACCGGCGCGGAGCTGTTGCTTCGGGCCGCTGTCGGCTGGGGCGCTGTATCCACTAAACTTTACCGGCCTCCGTACTTCCCGATGCAGCTTTGATGCTATTCACGGAGAGCCTCATCAGTAACCATATAAATGGCCTGGAAGGCTCATAAACAATTTTATGGAAAAAGACATTGAATTCCCCAGTGCGTAAATTCAGGAAGCTTTGTACGGAAGACCAGCACGGTGTCATTCCCGTCGTAGTGGAAACGCGGTAACGATAGTGCATTAACAGACAAGTCAGGGGGTTGTGGTACAAGGTACCTCCCAAATGCAGCTAACTGCTAGCAGAAATTGGGTACTTAGCTACCTCGTAGAGCTGCCCACTATACACGTTTCTGTTAATGCACCTTAGCTCCTGTCGGTCAGCCAGCGCGGAGCTTAGGTGTTCTGACCTGCGCAGTTACGCATCGTGGGCAGCATCAACTCTCTCTCCAAGCAACTTCACGACGACAACACTGTGACGAACGACCTTCGAACCCGAACCAGGTCACTTTCTGATCCTGATGATGGAAGCAACACCGACGCCCGGCTCTTTGAGCTGGCGCTTGAGCTCGCATCCTATTACGCTCCTGACGTTCCTCGCTTTCCGATCATGTAGGTGCTCCCGGTTCCTCTCCTAGCCCAGCTCCCTTTGTCAACATCCCGAGGATTGCGTCGAGAAGCAGCCCGTCATTATGGCCATGGTGGAATAGGAGGATTGATTTCGGCGGGACAGACGATGGGTAGAAGATCACGAAGAGAAGACGGAGGATGGAACACCCGGTATCTGCTTGCAAGACACGCTTGCTAACACCCTCTCGCGAACTACAGCTAGTCTTCTCGTCTACCTCTTTGGCCTCTTGTTTACCGACAATCTGTAAGGCGATCCCTTCTGCCCTTAAACCCCCTACGATCCTCGACTTGCCCATTTGCCCATATCCCCCTCGACACAATTGCAGGCGAAGGCGAAGGCGAACCCGAGAGCGTCCCTGGCTTTCCACGGCTGTCAACCACAAGAAAGAAGAAATAAACCGATTGCTAACCACCCAACCAACCGACCAACAGTGTCATGATCTTCATCATCACCATCCTCCTCCTCGCCGGCGACTTCTACTACCTGAAGAACATTGCCGGCCGCCGACTCGTGGGCCTGCGCTGGTGGAACGAGGTCGACCCTAACTCGGGCGACTCGCACTGGGTGTTTGAGAGCAGCGAACCGGGGACCAAGATCATCAACGCGACCGACAGCCGCTTCTTTTGGCTGGCTATCTACGCGCAGCCGCTGCTGTGGGTGGTGTTGGCTATTGTGGCGCTGTTTAGTTTGAAGTTTATTTGGTTGCCTCTTGTTGGTATGTACCTCTTTCTTCCTCTCTCTCCTCTAATTATCGGACTATAGCTAGCTCTCTTGAGTGTGGGATTATGTGTCAAAGGGCATTATGCTGATTGGGTGTTGGTGGGTTGCTGTAGCTATTGCGTTGGTTCTGACCATCACCAACTCGCTTGCCTTCTCGCGGTGCGACAAGTTCAGCCAGGCTTCCAACATTGCTGGGACCGCGTTCAGCTCGGGTAACATTGCTGGTAATATTGCAAGCAACATGGTTGGGAGGTTCTTCTCGAGGTAGACAGAAAGCAGGAAGCAAACTGCTAGAGTCAGGGACGGGGGTTAGGTGAAGCGAGTATTCAGAGAAAACTACTCCCATAAGGTACAGGTAGAGGATTCAGACCCCGAGGATACTTAAGGCCATTTGTCATATTTTCTGGTGTTCAGTATGGCATTACAGGTTGGGTTTTAGGAACAAAATCAGTGAAGGGAACTATGGCGTATCAATTTGTCGATGTTAATTTCCTAGTTCCGGTGCCAGAAAATTGGTCATGTGAGCAAGACGCGAAACATCATGATCGATTTCGAAATCCGGGATGTTGTGTCCGGCACGCACACAGCCCGCTCATCTTCTTGTGATATTACGGGCCTCACGGAAGAAAAAATCATAATAATATGCGGTACGTTCACCCCGTTTTCCTCGTTGCATTCACTTGAATCACTCCAGGGCTACTTTATGAAAGATGGACGAATACTAAGTCGCTGATAAAAGATTTTGATCATTCATAACCATCAGATATTGAAGCATCACCCGACATTGACCTGGATATACGCAGCTTCCCAAAGACAAACAATGAAAGAAAAGAGTAAAGAACTGGTCATAGCACCCTCTCTTCCCCAACTACCATATTCGCTTATTTTGACCTTCTAAAGCATTCATCATAGGTTCCTAGATCCCCTCCGCCCTCCCGCATGCTGTTCAATCGCCGCATCAAGCTGCCGCTCCTCCTCCTCCAACCTCCTGATTTCCTCCTCCGTCATTCCCTCCTCAACCAAATGAGCATACGGCGTCGACAAGCTCCTGCCCTGCTGCTGTTGGCTGATCAGACTACCCCGGTTGCTTTCAGTGCCTGCTCCCCCGTGCGTAAGCGATGGCGCACCACCGCCGCTGTGCAGAGTAGTCGGTGATCCCCCTCCTCCTCCTCCGGATTGGTGATCAGTGTACATCGTGTATGACCTTCCAGACTGATGATCATGCTGTATCTGCTGCTGCTGCATGTGGTGGGACGGGGCGTTCGAAACCGGGCTACCTCCATCTCCTTCTAATCTTCCATCTACGCCGGGAAGAACCACATGAGGGGAAACACCGGAACCAATGATGTTAGGAATAACGACACTACCGCTATTCCTGTTATTGGCACCGGCACCTCCCATTCCCATGGGGTGTTGTTGGTGGTTGTGGCCATCGTCAGAGTAAGGCGAGTGAGGCGCGTTCGTCACGTCGTGGATGACGCCCGCGTTGGCTTCCTTCTCGGCCATGAGCTCGTCGCCACCGTTTCGACCACCACCGCTGGCGAAGCCCCCGTAAGGCACGCCGCGGCTGGTACCGCTGCCGAGAGCGTTTTGCTTTTGGCGCCGGCGGAGGCAGAAGAAGACGATGCCGCCGATGAGAGCGAGGCCGAGGAGGCCGCAGGCTATGGCGATTCCGACGATGGCGCCGATGGAGAGACCTTTCTTGCTTTTGGAGCTCAAGGGCTTTTCGGTGCTGATGATTTCGCCGCTGCTGTTGGTAGGGGTGGCTAAGGTTGCCCCTGAATTGGTAGAAGTTGGTCCGATGGGCTTGCTGGTCCCGGTTGTCCCTGACGAGTCTTGTCCAACTTCTTCTGGCAAGACCGATGTCGCATTTTGCAGCACGGGATCCTCAAGTGCTGCGAGTCTTTGGTCTTCGTTATTCAATACTTTGAAAAAGCGGCTGTAACTCTTGCCCGTCTTCCCATCCGTCATCCAAGCAGCTTCAAAATACAACAACTTCCCGGTCGCGGCAGTTGGGGGATCAATAAGGTTCCAGATGTTTTTGATTTTCACTGTGCCTTCCGTAGAATTTGAAGTGACTGTTCAGACGTTCCCATGGATCAGCATCAATTTTCCACGCCCATCATGCCCAGCATCAAGGATATAAATTAGACGTTTGAGAATCATTCAGCCTTTTCTCATGTAACTTACCAATAAGATCGATGGAACTGGCGAGAGGATCAGATATGTCTGCCGTCTTCGAGGGAATACGTTCGTCTCGAACAGACAGAACAAGCGTTCCGTCTATCGCCGGATAGCCACTCCCAAGCGGCTTCGGGTTCGTGGTAAGGTCCGCTTTTGTCGGGGTAAAATATAGAGTGACGGCCTTGATTTTGACATCGTCCGTACCTATGATGTTCCATTTGAATACGGCGTTTACATTCGGCGGGGAGATTACCGCCTGCTTTTTTTCTGTTGTGATTTGGTCGGTAAAGCCTTGATATGGATCAAACGTAACAACATCCCCATGTTGAATAGCTGCCTGTGAAGCCGCAGGACGCCCCAACGACAGAGCGGCTAGCAGCCAGCTCTTAACCGCAACTATTCGCATGGTATGCCGAACTCCGCTCCTCTAGCACCTTCCTCTTAAATCAGCCACCAAGCCTGAAGATCTGTTGTAGAAATCGGCGCTTCTTCAGGTATGATGCCTCGTAGTTGTCGATATACGCATCACTTTTTATCGGCGACTTCGTCTTCGTCTTCGTTTGTGCCGGTTCGAATGCCAGAGCAAAAGTGTTGAACACAGAAAATCGTGGTTGACACCGGTAAGGGAACAACCAGCAGCTGAAAGTGTGCCAGATGGAAAAAAAAAAAGTGAGAGGAAGTGGACAACCCACACGGAGCCGCGCACGAAGGATTGCGAAGCGTGCGAAGGTAAGACGGACGGGGCTTGTGGAGCAGAGCGAACGAGGCTCGGGAGTAAGCACCAATACCAACTTGGGATAGGAGCAACTATCCGTATGGAGGATTGGATGGATTGGATGTACAACACCCCATCCACAGACAAATGATGTGTGGGACAGGGCCACAGGGGGGCAAGCAAAGAAAGAATAGGATAGGATAGGAAAACGGGAACTCCCAAGAAGAAACACCAAGCCAGGGGACAAACGGGGGGGCCAAAGTTGGGCTGGACTGGGCTGCGGGCTGTTGCTTAGTGTAGCCTGTTGGTGGCTTGTGTTGTACATCAAGCACACTCCGACGCTCGCAAGGGGAGGAGGGGAAGGAAGAAAACTAAGGAAAAAAAAAAAAAAAGATAAAAAGGGTGGGATGGAAGGCCACTCAGCTGAATCATTGGAACCAACAAGTGTCAGATCGGTTCACCCAAAGCCAGTCTGCTCTGGGATAACCAGAGAAGGAAGTACCATCTCCCCTGTCTCTGCCTTCTCTTCGTCGGTCACTTTAACCAGTCAACCTACCCGCTCAGCTTCGCTCTTATCCCCTTGTGCCACTTGCCTCCCATGTTTGTTTCGGTCTGCTTCATGAGAGGAGGTCTCAATTCTCGGTACACTGCATCAGCACTCTCGGCGACGAGTGGAATGTGTGTGCCACTCACTAGACAGATGATGACCTTTGGCACTGCCAGGATGGCTTTTTCCTCTTCCTTCACTCCTTCCTTCACTCCTTCCTTTCTTTACCATGTGCGCGCAGCAGTCTCGCAGTTTCCTTTCTCACTCTTTCGTTCCTTCCTCTATATCACAAAAAAACGTAGGGTATCAACATCCCCCCACCAGGGCTTAGCCTGATTGGGAATTAATCGCGACTTTAGCCTTGGTGGGCTGAATACCACTCGGGGGGGAGAAATGCAACGTGAGGTGCTGTGTCTACAGTCTACGTTAACGGTCTTCGGTTATGAGAAATAACCGACCCTCATCCTTTCTGTTTGACAGAATCAGCAGTCTTACACACAAACACCGGCTATCCCCTCGGTTTGTGATATCCGACACAGCGGAGAGAGGGACGGGTGAAAACATGTTGCCTCGTTACTAGTGTCAGGCATTTGTACTCAGTTTTCTAGCCATGCTCGCCATGATCATCAGACGGAAAGAGAAATGTCAAAAAAGAGTACCTAACAACACCGTCCATTCCGCAATAAAGGGTCCAATCCGTCCCCGCCTCTCCAGCGCATCAACGGACAACGTTGACGGTCATCCAACACCCGATTTAGTATCTTTTCCCGCCCTTCAGTTCGGCTGTGCCCCTCCATTCGCAAAGTAGCAAGTCGCAAGTCGAGTCGCAACCGCAACCTTAACCTCAACCGCCCAGCCGCCGCAGCAGGACTGGCGCCAAGAGAGAAAGCGATTCGCTGTCCGGACTCCGTTCGACGACATGTTCATGTTCTGCTGCCGCAGCCGGAGTAAAAACTGACTGCGAGACTGCGTGTCTATTTCTTATTACTTCTTGCTGCTTTCCACAGCAGATAGATAGATTGACAGACTTGATTTAGGTAATTCCGTCGTGTTACTGTCAAATACCCACCTGGAGTAAAAGAAAACGCGAGCAGAGCAGAACAGAAAAGACCAGTTCCGAGTTCCATCAACCTACCCAGCACTCCCAGGTTAGGTACACAAGCAGCACAGGTAGACGCGCCGTAGGCCAGGCAGACAAGGACTGGACTGCTCTGAAGATCAACCAAGATAATTACACTGTAGTGAGATGGGCCTGTGCCAGCTACCGACGCTAGTGCAGAATGGATGGTGTGAAGCACCGTGAAGGAGGCTTGTAAGCACTAACAAAGGTGCGGCTGACTGGTCGTCGGTCGGGTTTGTGTTTGAGAGTGGAGGTGGGGTTTTGGTTTTGCTGACCCTATTCATTTCATTCATGTCGCGCGCAGTATGGTGTGGGACATATGAAGTTTTCAGGTTGCGATGCCATCACCATTTTTGATCATTGCCATGACTGCCGTTGATATTTTATTGATTAGCTTCTATGAACTAACACGTGGAACTTATAAAATTTGCAGCCAAGATACTGCACCTTCCCGCCAATCCTTCTCTGAACGAAAGAAAGAAAATACAGTCGCTGGTGGTTGTGTTACGGAAGAGACAGAACGGGATCATGATTGAGCCCATGTTCATCAGGTCGCCGCCGCCGCCTTGTTACACACCACCTCAATCTATGTGGTGTGCAGTGGCCGAGTAGGTCAACTCCTGCAGAACGAGAACCGTGATGTCGCGAGTGTGAAACCACGATAACCAACTATTAAGCCGAACCTCCAAGCGCTGGGCGCTAAATGTTGACGATGCTTGCGCACAACTGCTGCCCGCTGCTTTCACGATCCATGATACATACCTGACGGGCCCGCCTCGACTGGAGTTACAAATACTCAGAGTGCCAAAGTGCGCCCTTCCTCTGCAGGGCTCTCCGGCCTTGATCCGTATTACGAACCCTAACTCTCTCAGCGGATGGTAAGTAGGTGTTCTCTTCGCCTTCCAAACTCGTTGAGGATATTCGTGGTACCACTCAGAAGGTAATAATCAGCGTCTCTTCTGCTGCTCCTGCTCCCTCAGCAACTTCTCCCGCATAGCCGCTCTGGCATTGCGGCTACCGCCCAGCTTGGGGCCCTTGAGGATCTCAGCGTCCTGGTTCCTGGCTGAAGGCCTCGCGGTGGCGTTGACAGCCGGTCTTCTGCGCCGGTGTCTCTGCGACATGGCGTCCATGAAGTCACGCCGGAACTCTTCGGCAATGCGGTCATCGGCAGCCATCTCGTCGTCCTCTAGGCCGGCGGCGTACTCGGGCTGATCGGAGGGCACGTCGTAAACGTCCACTATAGCACACACCGCGGTTAGTAATTTGAAGCAAGCTGGTTGACAATAGCAGCAAGGGCACCGAATGAAACTCACGTCTGTTCTCGCGTAAAAACTCCTCCACTTGCTGATCCCGCTTCAGGGCGTCGCTATCCCTGCGATTCCTCGACCGCCACGGCTTCCCGTCGGGGCCAAGGCGGACCTTCTTGCGACGTCCATCCGCATCCTCTTCCTCCTCCAGGATCTGGCCTGCGAGCCGGCGTCTCGCGCGTTCCGTCTCCGCAATGTTGCGAGCGCGCGCTTCCTCGCCGAGATCAATCTCCATGAGCTTGCCATGGAGAGCTCGCTGAGACTCGACCTTTCCGCCACCCACGCTCAGCGTCGGATCGGCCGCGAGGAGATTCGTCATACTGCTCGTCATCGCATTGCTGCTGCTGTCGTTCTGTCCTCCTTCTTGCTGTGCCCGGTGTTCTGCGGCGAGCCGCTTTCGTTTAGCCAGCTCGGATTCTATGTATTCCTCCCTTGCTTGATCAGCCGCTGCCTTTCAAAAAAAAGACGTAGTTCCCCCAACGCACCCAAGCCTGGCAATGGTAGTACTCACATGTGCCTGTTGACCAGCTCGCCGACCATACCGGTCTGCGGCGCAAAGCGCTTGGCGACTCCGCCGAGGATCGCTGCTTCCTGCACTTCACCTCCTCCTCCGCTTCCGACGCCGTCGTGTAGGACCATTGCTTGCTCGGCATTCTGCACTGTCGGGCTGGACTCGTCACCAGCTCGAAATGCGACGCCGCCTAGTCTGTGTTTCTTTGCGTTTCTCAGTCGTAGTACCTCGGCGACGGAAAGACCGCCCTCTTCTTTGTCATCGTCGCGATTACCGGTTGCTGCTGCTGGGGTTGTCGTCGGTGTCCCAGAAACTGCTGGCTCGGTTGTTGAAGCGGCAGCCTGGCCTGATGCCGTCGCATCGCTGCTGGTATTGATTGTCGCCGATGAATCTGTCTGCGCTGCTGGCTCCGCGTCCGTTTCCTCGGCTCGCTGACGAAAGGCTCTCTTCTTCTTGCCGGCACGAAAAAAAACTGGAGGTGGTACGGCGGCGGGTTCTGGTGTTGGCGTGGTGGCCGATTCTGGCGTAGGCGCAGAGGACGCGTCCATGGTGAAATTGTCGGTGTTTCGTGAGTCCAATGTCGTTCGCAAAAGGGAGAAAAGCGAATGCTGGTTTGAAATGTGCACGACGTGATGTTGTTGGATGGATAAGAACAACTCGCTGGACGGTGGCGAAGGCGCTGTATAGCCTGTATGTAATGTAAGGGCCAAGGCGGGAGGTTTCCTGCACATAACCCTAACCCTTCATCGAGAGTGCTAAAGAATCTGTTCGAACAACTGTGAAAAGACAACCACAAGTTTGATAAAACGAATGGTCTACATACCTCAACTTCTCGATTTCGAGATGTTGACCAAGTCTACAAATAACAGACAGAAAAACAGAAATATTTCAACCTTTCTCGGTCAAAATACGAAATACCTAGAGAACATGGACCAACAGCCAAGAATGACAGCAAGTGACGGGGACCGTAACGGATCGTCATGCATGAACGGGTCCCGTGCAGTGACACTGACAGCGCGAATCCCGTTGGTCCAGGCTCCGAGCCGACCCGCCGGCGTCATGTGGACCTCTTCCGCTCCGGAGGCTTTGGGAGGTTTCATGACCGGAACCGGCGTCGCTTTCTGGCTGCCTGGATATCTGTGGAGAGTTGTGCTCAAACAACCAGACCGGGACCGGGACTATAGAGTAGAGTCGGTGGTGGATGTGCCTCTGTTTCAATATCTTTATGCGAGTTATGCCCCATTATGCACACGAGTTACTAACAAGCATCCCAAGTATAATGGTGACGGAACGAAAAAGTAATGACCCTGTGCATCGAGTGCCGTATATGCAACTGTGTTTCCCTGTGCCTGAGCCCACACGCTGAACATATACGAATATGACACTGGTCTCAGTAGTCAAGATGGTCAAAGTTATGAAAAGAAGAAAAAGAATAGAATGTTCACCACGCCTCTCAAGGTCTACTATCCGGCGCACGAGCAAAGAGGTATCAAACATCAAACCAAAGCAGGACCGCCAACCCCTCCAAACCCCCATTCCACATAATGTACAACATAGAAAAAACATAAAAACCAGTACGTAACATAGCATCTTCCCTCCCATGGCCATTTCGCCGTTTCCATGCATCCATCCATCCATCGTCTCCTTCTCTTCTTGAAAAGCCCTTGTGGGCAACGGTTGTTGAAAAGAGTGACATGAAGTTTAATGAGTAGTTGTCGCATACCCAGCTCGAGGGACACTGTTCGTCTGTAGATGAGGCCGATCTTAGAACCGACCCAGACGATAGCTGGGGAGGCCTATCGTCGTTCGACACCTCTTTTCTGGTCCAGGTCGTCCTCGTGATAACACCCCAGAATCGTACATGTCCAGTAGAAGGCTGCCCTGTACCAGGTGGCATCGACAGTCGTGAAGTCGCAAGCTGTAATCGTCCAACGTACTTCAACAGGCGCATCATATCCACGCACTAGCCGGGGCCGCAGCCGGAGTGATAGGCTCCGGCTCGACAGGCTCGACGCCGTAGAAAGTGACGAAGAATCCCCGAATCTCCTTCAAGTAATCATCGGCGCTGAACTTGCACAGTTTCATAGCCGCCATCTCCTGCTCCTCCGCCGCAAACTCATTCAGCTTCTCCTTCACACCGTACTCCTCGGCGATCTCCGTTACCTGAGCAAGTTCCTGCCCAAAAGGATGGTGAGACTGCGAGAACTCTGCCCTGTGGCTGCGAGCTGGCGACTCGGCGATTTCGGGTCGTCGTTGCTGTCTTTGCGTCGGCGTAGAAGCAGGGGAAGCTGTAGCAGAGGGAATCGAGTGGCTGACGGAGGGCGGGATCGAGACTTGAGGCCTCTTCTTTGCGTAGGATGAAGGAGATGCCGGGGTGCTGACTGACGACACCGAGGTGCTCCTTGAACGCGGTTGCGAGAAGCTGAAGCTTGCTTTCCTCGAAATGGTGTGTACCGAGCTCCGGCCTGCGACTGATTGCTCACGTACTCGCGAATCGTAGGACTTCTTGGTGTGGGAAGGCGCGCGCGATGGGACGAGCGGAGCCTCGGCCAACGGTGACGGCTTGTGAGTGGTGACGGGAGATGTCGTCGAGTTTTCGGCGGTGAAATAGCATGAAAGGTGATTCGGCTGTGGAGACGGGCAGCGATCCGGGGCCTCGTCGATATCCGGGCTGGTGGGAGGAGACGAAGTGTGAGTATGCGCGCTGTCGGACAAGTCATCGTCGGATTTCAGAAATGACGATTTGGTCGAAGTGGCAGACTGGGGGTAAAGATCTGGCGCATTGTACGCCAGAACGTTGGTCGTGTGGATGAGCTTGACAGGGGCCGAAATCTTATGGCGCAAGGAAGCCATCGACACTTTCTGTAGGTTGCTCCGTGGCTGGATCGGGTGGTCGGGCTCAGACGACTGCGAAGATTGCCTGAACCGCCGGGTCCCGGTCGTGAATGCTCGTGAGATGGACGAAGACATGTCGAATACTGGCTCAAGTCACAGACTTGAAAACGTAAGAGGTGGTGCTGAGATATGGGTGAATATCGAGTCCTTCAGAGGATTTCTGTAATAGCGAGTTCAAGAGGGGTCGAGATATCGGGTGATGATGTATCTCAGACGTGGGAGAGGTCTTCCTGGGAAACCGGAAGGTGCAAGCTCAAGCCAAAAGAAGGTTGGGTGGTTAGTAGTGAAGGACGAAGAACTCCAGGGTAGCTTGTCCAACGGGTGGTGGGCGAAGGTGTGACGTTTGCCTCTCTGGGGTGTCTCGGTTCACGCTCAGATGACTGCCTTGAACCGCGGTGAAGGGTACCGGTGATCGAAAAGTGAAGCCGAATGCAACGATGCCTGATCGAGTGCAGAAATGAATATGAGACGAAAGGTTACAAGTCTGGCGTTTGTAGCTTCCGAGACCTGGTGGTTTAAGAACTCGGACGAAGACCAGATGTGATGTCAACCAACAAGGAAGATCGGTACTGCGAAAGAAATGCAGAAACGGAAACAATCCGGGAGAACGGGTCGTTGTATGCGCGTGATGCAAAATGCTGCTAGGTAGAGTGTATTGTTCTGTACAGCCTGGGGTACGTATGGGATCCAGTCCTTTATGGTCTTTGTAGATATTCCGTGTCGTTGGAAACTCGAGTTCTTTATGCGTCGAACTCGTCCGTTTGTTAGTGGCACGTAGTGCGGTCCGATGTATGGGCAGTTTTGTTGAAAGTAGGGAGTGTCTTCCTAAACAGGATGCTGTTGCTGTTGGTAAAGAAGGAGTGGTGGTGCAACCCAAATGAGGGAAATGAATGTGGTGGGATAGAATCCGCTTCTCGAGTCCAAAATCTAAGATGAGGCTCTCACTCTCGAAGGATATCCCGTCAACGAAGGAGCGTGATGGGGGCACAAGTTCAAAGGAAGGAAGTTGCGTGGAGAGAAAGGGGAAGGGAAGGGGAGGAAAGCAAGGAGCGGACAAAGTCAACGTCTTCCCAAAATGGCTCGACAATAAAAGGATTGCAACCTGAACTGGCGGGACGGGGAGAAAGGCCAGGAAAAGAACAAACTGCGGGGGTCAGACGCCGTCAATTATAACGTCGAGTTACCTGGATCCGGCCGCCAGAGATGATGATTTCATGGAAGTATCGCCTACTTGGGTATAAGCTGTTTATGAGCACGGTTCTTTATGTCTCTCTTACATGAAGATACGCATGCCGTTCCTGCGTCGTGGTACCTCTACACTACTGACGGGTGCGCTACCACGACGGGCGTCGCAGTGATCGGCCATGTTGGAGGATTCGTTCGTCCCGTCTCTCTTTTCGAAAATGCAGTCTCGATGCCGGCAAAAAGGCACGAAAGGATGCTGATTGAGGAGGCCCCAGAAGCCCCAGAGAGGCCCATCCAGCGACAAGCCCGTGTCCATCCAGGAACAACCATGCTCGTGCCTTGGACGGTGGGTCAACAAACTTTATTTCCGGTCTCTTGTTGGCCGTCTGGTCACAGCTCCCTGTAACCCACCAATGGGAATCGGGAAGGTCGCTTCAGCCACCCGTGCCACCCCAGAGTGCCGCCGGCCGACCCCTTTTTTGGACGACAGTCGGAGCCGGAGAACTGATAGGTTCCTCAGCGAATCGAAGCGTTCAGTACGATGCGCAGATGATGGAGGCTCACCTTGACGGCATTCCCGTCTGACAGCTCTGTTGCAGCAGCCGCGTGCTCGTCGAAGGGTTGTCTGAATCTCTGTCGCTTCTCGCGGTCGGTTGCTCCATCCCGACCGGACTTGCTGTTGGACCCATCAACAAGGTATCTGTCCGTCATCCTCTCCATCTCCATCAGACCAAGCTAGCCCCCGCTCAGAAAGGGACCATTACCCTAGATCGAAATTTTAATCTGACACTAGCGTCGTTATGCATTTGTTGGGAGAGGCCTTCATGATATTGAAGATGTTTGGAATCACATCAGATCTGATGGTTTCTGTTCATTCAACGTCATCTGTGATTCAATCAGTGGGAGGCAACGGTGATGGGTGCATAGAACCAACTTCCTCTTTTGCATTGCCGCATGTTTCAAACACTCATGCCGTGTCCAGAAGATGCGATTCCCTCCATCCATCCATCACCACTCACGGAGCACAAAAGTCCGGCGGTGGTCTCCCCAAAACAGAAAACGGGCAAATCCTCAACGCCCCGCGGACATTGCGGATGATCCTGTCAGATTTACTGGTGTGATTGATTGAATCTGTGTGACTGACTCGAGCGCTCTCTCTGCAGAAGGTCTGGGGGTCTGGGGGTATCCCATATTTGCCAAGACCTGTTAAATCAGGTGGCTGGGACTCTGGCATCTAGTCTACATCTGGTTAGAATACTACCCTAGAATTTAATATACCCCCTTACTTGTAGACCTCTTTTACCTCTTTGAGGTTAAAAGTGAAGTTATTTATATATTGCTCTTGTCGTTTTGTGTTTCTAGTCCTAGTATTTTATTTAGATTATCGAAATCTACCTCTCCCGGTACCGGATTATCTCTTCTTCCATTGTCTTCCCGCGGTAGTACCTTAGCTATCCCTAGTAACTCCCTAAATTTCTTGTGCTCTAGAATACTTAGTGCCTTTGTTAGTCTATCTGCTAGTATTAACTTTGTCTCTAAATATTCGATATTGAGGTTTTTTTTCTCAAGAATCTCTCCCCTTAATTAATATTTATAGATATCTATATATTTTATCTTTATACTAAAGGTAGGCGTTTCCTTTATAAGTATTCTAATAGTTTATTAATTATTATAATGTAGAGTAGGAATAGGATCCTCTAGTAAATTTACTTCTAATATTAATATTAATCGGTTTATAAAGAGGGTCTTTTTAGCTACTTTTTCGATTGTATATAATTTTGCTTCTATTCCTAACATAGTAACCACAATCTATTGATTACTCCCTAATAGATTAAATTATTATATAGTTTAATTATAAATCCTTAGGAGCTTTTATAGTTATTCTTATTATTAGTAAATAAAATATTAGAGGTAATTTCGAGTTTGTTACTCCTGCTAAAATAGAGTACTTATATTTTTATTACTTTTAGATATTATATAACCTTTTCGCTCGCCGCCAAGTGAGTAGGATTAGGATTATAATTATATTTAGCTAATTTATTTAATAAGAACGTGATATCTAGTCGAATATTAATTGTTACATATAGTAAAGAACCTATGTTAATTTGGTACGTTCGTATTTCTACGTAGTTGGTAATATTTTTATAAGGAATTAATTCTTTATGCCCTATAGGTATTAGAGTTGGGCGGTAGTTAGATTTGAGTAATTTAGTGATTTTATTAATATATACCTTTTAAGATAATTAGATTTTTCCTTGGTTTCGATTACGTATAATTTTAATACCTAAAAATAATTAGAATTCATCTCTTCTTATTAGGTAATATTATGATTATAATTCTATTGTATATTTTTTAACCTCCTCTATTTTGTTTTTATTGAACGTAAAGACGATATTATCGATATATTATAGTATGAGAATACTGTTTTTCTTTATAATATACAGGTTTTTAGGGATTGTTTTAAATTTTATCGATTTGAATGCCCTATTTAATTCTCGTTACTACAATAAGGGAGTTCGTCGGAGATTATATAGGGCTTTAATAAATTTGAGAACTTTCCCGGGTATTTAATATCCTAATAATATATATATATAGATCTCTTTATCGAGGTAAATATTTATAAAAGCGTTGACTACATTATATTAAATAAATCTAAAGTTAAAGCGAATAGTAAAAGTGATAATAATACGAAATAATTGATTTGCGAGGGTAGATGCGTATGTATTAGCTCTTATTTTTTTCTACTAGTTACTTCTTATTATAAACTATATTTTTACCTTATTAAATGTCCCGTTCTTATTGAATTTATAAATATAAAATTATATATAATCGAAAATTTATTTAAATTTAGAGTAGAGGATGTCTTTATTTACTTCGATCTACATCTTTATATTTTTATAGTTTTTAAGGTCAGTTTCTTCTATTTCCTTAAATTATTGGTTAAATACGTGGTTATTTAGATTATAGTACTTCTTAGGTATTAGAGGGAAATTATATTAGTATACCCTATTAAAACGACTATATTTTATAATTAACTGTTCGATTTCCGCCTTGGTAATTATTTTTTCATTTATTTTAATTATTAGTTAAGTTAATTTACTAGCGTTAAAGGCAGCTTCTTATAAATTTTAATAATAAATATATTAGTCAATAGCTCGGTCGATAGAATAGCCGGTATAGAGTACGGTTAGTAGGATAAATAGAAGCGATAACTATAAACCTATAACATATTCGATAGGTATTTTATTATTAATTAATTATTAAATTAATATTTCCTATAACTAATTACTTTTATTTTAGGAAATTTCTTAGTTCCTTTAATAATCTTCCTAATTTTAATTGAAGAGATTTGATAGGAGAGGTTTAATATTACTATTATTAATATTGTTTAATAGTATATAACCTTCGATATAAGATAATTCGGATACCTCCGAGGGTTAGTTAGTAAATTTATTTATCTTATTGAATAGGTTAGTAAATTCTTTACTAGTAATTTTGAGGTCGTTTTTAAACCTTTTAGTATTTAGATAGTAAGTAATATTTTCGTTAAATATTATATCCTTGGTCTAAACGATCCAATTTATAGAGGAATTCTATATACGATAGATAGAGGTCGTTGAATAGCCAATAAAATACCCGATTTAGGCCTTTAGGTTGTGCTTTTGAAGTCTTTATTCCTTCTTTTAAGCGGTGCTTATTATAGTAAATACTTTGTATTTATAAATTCGAAGGTAATTTAGATTTAGTCTGCATGATTTTTACTAATTGTATTAGTTTGCGATATAGGTATAGAATTGTTCGAAGGGTGATTTTTAATTATATAAATAACGAGGGGAACGATTAATAAAATAAATACGCGTAAATAATTTTTAATTATAAATCTTCTAGTA